TTTTTTTTTTTTTTTAAAAAAAAAAGAATTTTCCTCGAATGAAAAATAAATAAATAAATGATGTAAAAACCTAATGATTTGAATTGGTTTAGACTAAGTTTGGTAGATTATTTGTAAGTTTCTTTAACATATGACATAAAAAAAGAAAAAAAAAACTCATAGTGTTTAGTGTTTTTTTAATAAAGTTATAATCTAATTAAATAAATTATAAAATAATTTATAGTTTTTTTTGCTATGTAATAGCAGCTAGCTATAATTATCACAGGCAGGGGCATAGCTAGAAATTTTTTTGACACGGGATTGCATATTATTGCAACCGAGTAGATATAGTCATGGGTAGAGATGTTAAACGGGTTAGCCCTAGCGGTTTCGGGCTAGCCCTAGCGGGTTTCGGGCTAAACGGTCTGGGCTTAAAAAGCCCGGATTTAAACGGGCTACCAATAAAAGGATCTAACCCTAACCCTAACCCTAGCGGGCTTCGGGCTAAACAGATTATGCGGGCTATAATAATAATAATAATAATAATAATAATAATAATAATAATAATAATAATAATAATAATAATAATAATAATAATAATAATGTATCAAAAAATATAAAAAATAAAAATAAAAAAGTTATAAAAATTACAACGACTAATTAACGATTGTTTTCAACGGTATTTAATATTTACCACTCTATATATACAACTACACATCATATATGAACACCCACTACAAATTCTTAAATAACATTTTTCAAAAGAAAAAAAAAATCAAATTATTACTTACAGCAATTACTATTTTACTACTTATATTGTACGCTTTGAAAATTTTTACGATATTATATCATTATAAATTCTATCACTATGTTTCATGTGTTAGGTCTTTTGTCTCATTTATTTCCTATTAGTCGTTTTGATTGACTTAAATATTTTGGTGTGGATACAATAAGAATATTGTTAATAATTCTCTTTCAAAATCACTATAATCCGTTACAGCTCATACTTATATGTGAAGTGGAATAGTAAATTGTAATATACAATGAATCTAAGAGCATATTACTTACTTGCTGCAAATATTTACAACGTCCAACTCATGTTAAACGGGCCAGCCCTAGCAGGTTTCGGGCTAGCCCTAACGGGCTTCGGTTTAAACGGTCCAAACCTAAAAAGCCCTGATTTAAACGGGTTACCAATGAAAAGCCCTAACCCTGTTTTTTTCCAGGCTAAACGGGCTGCCCCGTCGGGCCAAAGACCATTTAACATCTCTAGTCATGGGTCGGGGTTCTGCCCAAACCGGCACATTGACCATGAGTATTAAACCGGTCCCTGGTTTTGACAAGTCCGGTTCATGTTGAATACATTATAGTTTATATTTTGAACCGGCGGTTTCCGTTCTAAACTGAAACCGGAACCGACAGTTCAACCGTATTTTTTTTAATATAAAAAATTAGTTATTTTTTTATGAGCCAAGCGGCCAAGAATCGACGGTTCAATGAACCACTGTGCATATGTTCGGGCCGATCCAGGGCCCTCTAACCCTCGGCCTGGGACTAGCGGTATCAACCCGAAATCGGTTTTGGCCATGACTAGAACCGAATTATCTATTAACATATTTCGGTTCGAATTGTGAAACGCAATCTTGACTCAGTCATATTTAAACAAGTCAAACTCAAATAGCTAATCGAACTTGTCGATCAAACAAATAAAGTCGAACATGTTTGTAATCAACTCTATAAGAGCTTTTTCTTTGTTTAGGAAAATTTATGATAATAAAAGTTTGACTAAACAAGAATGTAATATTATTTATTTATTTATTTAGTTTACTTAATTTTATTTCGTATTTAATATATATTTAATAAATAAATTATTTATAAGTATTATAATTAAAAGTAGTATAAATTTTATAAATATATATATATATATATATATATATATATATATATATATATATATATTTATACACACGTTAGATAAAATGATGCTGGTATATATATAAGTGAAGTCAAATATTTAACAAAAGTTGTGTTAGATTAAGTGGCTCATAAGCACACTTTATCTAGTGCTACCATGTTCGAATCGGCTCCTTGCAATATTTTTGCAACTCTGCCACATAAATTGAACAATGCTGATGTGGCAGCTTTTTTGCCAACAAATATTAAGTTTGTGTATCAGGTTGCCAAAAAATCAAAGGTATTGTATTAAACTGTCAAGATTTGAATGATAATTTGGCTCCTATTTGTTGAGTCAGACTTCTCGGTGACGTGGCCGTTAAAAAAAATTACCACATCAGCTTTCTACTGACTGACGTTAAATCCGTGTATCGGGTTTCCAAGAATATAAAGTCATGTATTTATTTGTCAAGGTTTAAAGGTCGTGAGTAAATGGTCAATCGAGTAAAGATCGTGTATTTTCCTTCTATTAAGTACTTAATTATAATGAAAAATATTAAATACCTTTAGTAAAATTACCTAATAAGATAATTATTTCACAATTTACATTTATGCAAAAGCTTAATGAAATTTGTTTTAAAACTTATAAAATAAATTTTAACTTAAATTTAATATAAGTATGTGATAACATTAAGATATAAATTATTTAGGAAAAATATTTTATTTTTTAAAAATAAACTTATAGAAAATAATTATGGATGAAATTTATAAATTGAAAAAGTTAAGAATATATAAAATTAATACCTATAATATAATTATTAAATATATTTATAAAACTAGCATCGTATAATTCAAATAAGTTACATTTATGCAAAATTAATTTAGCTGAAATGAATTAATTTTCTAACTAAAGTAATAATATTTATAATTATTTAAAATATAAATTTCAAAATAATAGTATTTTAGTTTACATATTTATGTAAACATATAAAGTAATTGGAGTCTTAAATTGAGTACTAAAATATAAATGTAAGCCTTTAATAAAAAATTAACTTAAAATTGAAACCTTCAAATGAAAAAAACTGAAAATTCATATCTTATTGTGAGATAATAACGAAAATTCAACCCTACAATAGAATTTCTCCTTTCATTCTTTCCTTTTTGAATTTTGGTCTAAATCTCTCTTTTTTTTTTTTGGTACATAGACGGGGCTAGGCCCCAGGAATTACGAAACTAGAATTCGACGTGGATAAGTCGCCCCACTGATGTCGTGGTCGATCCAAGGCTCCAACTCTTTTGGAGGCACTTGCACCCTGTGTAGTCCAAGCGGAGACTCAGCCGCTAGTTTAGCCATTTGGTCAGCTGCAAAATTGGCTTCTCGGTGTACATGAAGAATTCGCATGTTCCAGTCTCTGCTCATCAAATCCTTAATCGCTCGGACTAGGGAATCGTTGGCCCCAGGTTCACTCTGTGGCCTTAAGATCATATTAATCACACTTTGACTGTCCACTTCAGCTACCACTTGTCAGAATCCGAGCTCCCACACCAACGTTAGCCCTTGAAAAATGCCCCATAACTCGGCCCCGGTAACGGTGCCCAAGCCAATATTCATTAAAAAACCCTTGACCCAATTACCACTGGCATTTCGAACCAAACCACCCGCACTACACGTCCCCGAGGTGCGATTAAAGGATCCGTCAGAATTCATTTTGACCCAACCCGGTTCCGGCGGTTGCCAATAAATCATGAAAATTAAAAAGGATGCCGCACCCGCTCGCGAGTAAGCCACAACCGTCTTCACATAAGAGTCCATTCTTCGAAGAATTTCCAGAGCTCCAGCCTCACTACCCATTAGACGGTTCTCAAATGTCCGTTCATTCCGCCATTTCCAGGAACACAAAATCCCAAACGCAAACCTACTGCTCCAGTGCTTGTCAGGACCTCGCGGCGACCCGCTTAAATTTCTCTGCAGCCATGTTCTAAGCGCCTGTTGGAGAAAAGCATGAGCAGTACACGGCGGCAGGAGTCGGTGCCACATTTGTTTTGCGCAGGGGCAGTCTCGCAACACGTGTAGCATAGACTCACTAGCTCCACAAGCCTCATACTCTGCCGATGCGGAGAGGTGT